TCTCACTTCCAACACCCAATACTTATAAATAGTGGTTGTTGTCCAAAAAGACAAATTTCACTCTTTGACTTTTGTACACATGGTATTAGGATCCTTTTGGCAACTCACTAACTTTCAGGGTATCTTATAACATGTACTAATTACTCTTATCTAGTCTTTGGATATTTCCTAGTTAATTCTTTATCCTCTTGACTTTGACTCTTGGCCCTTAACTTTGACCTATATCCATAGGATTTTCTTTCTATACACCAAGAGTCGACCTTTTGACCATTAGCAACTTACCTAAGATAATATCTTCTACAATGTAATTTATTCTACTTTCACTTTGACTTCAACACAGATGCCATGATTTCAAAAGTTGCTAGAAGAGGCCAAGCAGACATTCAAGCATAAGGAGTGAATTGAATCCTCTACTTAGAATCATGTTGCTTACTTTTTTTCAAATTTTGATACTTAGTGCTCCTCCAAATCCTCATTCTGCACACTACTTCAAATTTCATTTTGTGCTATAGTCATGGGCCCACACGCTTCAAACATATATATATATATATATGACATGTGTGTCTATATAGACATGACATGTTATTTTGAGCTAAAATTATATAAGAATATTGATGTAATTATTGAAAGTAGTTGATAAATCTGGATCCATCTATCCATTAGCTACAGCCTAAACTTAAATGCCAACAATACAATTGAAAATTTTAAAATAGTGTACAATATTGATTTTTCTGTTTCAAAAAGAATTTACTCACTGATAGAGGAATAATCCAGAGATAACCCAAAAAGTCATATTGCAGTTCTACATCACTTCCCCATGAGTTCCCCAAAATTTCCCGCGAGATCAGACCCCAACGCGGGAAAACTGAAGGGACCGTCCCGCCACGCTCCCGCCAATTCTCCCCTTGTGCATCCACGACCATAGCAGTCACGCCAGCCATACGTTACCTTGACTTTTTGCCGTCATTCTTGTGCATCAGCGCCACGATTCGCTTGCAACTGCCGTCGATGACCCCTTCGCAACGACAAATTGACAATACTCAAATACCCATCTCGTCATTTTTAGCAAATAAGAAAATTAGGCTTGCAGTGGGTTATTTTGGCTTTGGCAGAATGTTGTTGGGGGGGGGGGGGATTTCATGTAGCGAGGCTCTCATGGGGTGCTTTGGTCTAGTTCCAACTGTGTGTAGCACCCTCTTGGTCGCTCTGCCGGTTGATAGCCGGATTTTGCATGTCTTGAGCATCACAGAGGACATCTGCATGCAGTAATATATGACCCGGACGTGACTCTGATTTCTAAAAGCGACTTTACTTCAATCCGTGACAAACTTAAAAACTTGCATGTGCAGAAATCAGATTTACGGAAACGGAATCCTGAGTTTCGAGAGAATGTTGTTCTGGAAGAAGAAGGGTCAGGAATGCCTCTTTACGCTGTACATTGTTAAATTACTAGTTGAACACCGTGTTATCCTTTATTTTTTTGACTGAAAGCAATCTCTTGGCTATTGTCCTGTACAAACGCAAGCCAAGATATGCTTCATGGAATAATCTAGATAATGACCCTTTTTTTTCTTTTTTTTTCTTTTTTTTTAATATTTTGACTTTCATGGACTCTTCTTTGTTGCTTCTGATGCACAGAGTGAGGCGCATAGGATACAAGCTACTCTCCGTGATTTTATGTCATCTTTCTCTTTGTACCGTGGTTCTCATCATGATTGCTCCTTTCTGGGTGCCCTGAAATGTTATCACTATGTACAGAAAGTTCTTCCTTTAAGAATTAGCAATGAACTGCAGTTGACGAATGCCAAACTTAAATGTCTCAGTTGCCTACGTCCTTTTTGTCATGATCATCACCAGGTATTTTCTGGATCTCGTTTTCACGAAAGTCAGGAGCTGTTGTAAAAGATTTTGAGATAGCATGGAATTGTGTTCTGCCCAGGTTTTAAGTAGAATAATTACTGGTAAATAATTCCCACATAATGGATACTGCTTGTTTACAGCTCTCACTTTCGTCTACAAGTAGATGAGATCTTAGTCCTCACTCCCTTCCTCTTCTCTGATTTCAAAATTTTCATGATTTCCTTTAGACTATTCGCCTGTTTCTTTTTGCTGCGGGGAATAGTCTGCACCGGTGTTTAATCGGATCATTTTATGTTTTCTTGAAATAGAGGCACTGAACGCCATGTGACTTCAGCCTTGCACCGGTGAGATGGATACTTGCTCTTTGTTTCCTCACTTTTATTGTGTTTTCATCCATGTCAAGTCATAGAAACGATAGTGAACCTATTCTGTTATTAAATTTGGCAACATTTTACTTATTCTGTTGGTGTTTATCATCCACAATGTTTTGTACCCACTTGTCGTTATATTACACGTGTTCCAGGGGTCTCTTTGACATGTAGTCGTATTTGTTGGTGCAGGTGACTCCAACAGCAACGTTCGTTTCGTGCTGTTGAAATATTTTTGCATCACATGATCTTGCTCTCATATTCATCTCTTACTATGATTTTTTGAATTTAGGGATATCAATTCTCTTAAACATCTTTTTTGTTCCAGGAGAATGAAACAGATCGAGTTCCTGGCATTTGAAACGTCTTTTTAAAGAAGAATAAAGACTTATAGATAGCGTCAACAGTCAGTTGAATGTGGTTTCAAGTCAGCATAATACGCCGTTGTTTTTAGATCCGGTGAGAGAGCATCACCGATATCACAGAGGGTTGCAGTTAAGGTAACTTCCAAATGTTTTCTCGTTCTCCGTGACGTAATGAATGTTTAGCTTTGGCAGCTCAAAGTGGTCCACAAGTATGATTATGTGCTAGTGTCATCAGATCTAGCGTTTTGGAGGTTGTCATTCCTTCGATTCTGCCCTTGAAGGAACCCTTAAATTGGACAGTTGGTCTGCACACGTGAGTTTGTTGCAACTGATTGCAGCAGAGCTATCGTTCTATCCACCTGCACAAACAGTGTGTTCCAACTCATTGTTGTCCTCAATTTTCTGCTCTTCATCAGTCTGAGGATACAAATGCCTCGGTTCAGGTAACGGATGTGCTTTAATGAAAGCTTGTTTAGCGTCGCAGGGCTTTGATGGATGTTGCAAAACTTCAATTTGTTAATAACGAGACTACTGGTAGATTGCCAACCTAATTTCGCGGCTGGCTAGAAGGATAACTGCGGATTGATTCAGATGTTCAAGTCGAAGCCTCTGAAGTGTTGAGCCATGACTTTGTGAAGTCAATCGAGAAAATCTTACGATGCGTGACCCCTGTCGCTTTCCACCAAACAGCCCATCCAGTTGGATATCATTCTGAAGTTTTCACTGCTTCAAGAATGTATGTTCCAAGCACATGTTTTATTTACGCAATTGTCACAGGTTGACATATTCGCCTCTTCACCTCTTTCATGTGGGTAGACCCGAAGTACCACCATTTATACCTCTGTCACCGACTATGTAGAGCAGATCAGCATATTTCGATTGCTCCAACTAAGTGGACCTTGGAATGATCCACGAAACTTAATCAATCGTTATTTTGTAGTTAGACTTTCCAGAACACCGGCGTACTGTTGTTTGTAGAGTGTAACGCCAGATGTACTTGGCTGAGCTGGGCATATCCACAGCAGATAGGTACCACAGAGATTGTTACTATATGGTGCCGCTGTGAGTTTTTCAGAAGTGGTTATTGCACCCAACTTATCCTTTGTTACTTCTTGGAGCAATTTCTGAATCAGAGAGTCTTGATCTCCGGGACGTGTTTCCTGCTCATGCGGACACCAACTTGCAAGTCTGTTCTTTTTCCAGCAACTCAAGAGTTAATATAAGGCACCCTAATACTTAAGTTCCGAAGCGAAAATCATGTCATTAATACTGAGGTGTAATGCACATGCCGGGTATTGACCGGAATTTACTATTTAATGACCGAAATTTAACTTTATACTAGAACTTGAAATAGTAAATTCCGGTCTACTTTACCTCAATTTTCATACCTTGTCTAGTTACGTATTTTTATCAAAATTTACACGTCAGAATTTCGGAGTGAACAATGAGATGAAAGCATTGGTTCCATTCAGAATACTGTCGTGGGCTTCTTCAATTGCATTCAAAATCAGCAACTAATTTAGTGTTTTGGGGATTTTTGATTCTCATCACCTACACTCTATCTATGTGCTGCTTGTTGCATCATTGTTGCAAGCGCATCTAGCTCAACTGAAACGTTAATCGCCGTACAATTCACATCTAGATCTATTGACAGCTTGCAATCCACACGTCGTTAACAAAATGAAGTGGACGTAAATTAGGCATATACTGCCAGAAAGTTAGATTGACTGCGCATAATGGATCGTCTTTACTGCTGTCTGAAAACAAGCTATTAAATCGTAAGAGTTCCCATTTTCCTTGTGAACACTCAAACCTCCACATACCTTAAACCACAGTATTTTTCTCAAGGGCACATACGTATGTATTTAAAGTGTGGCTCTGAAGACCACTGCAAAATTCAGTTTTCCACCTGATTTTCACTGGAAACTCATGACCATTTTTCATCCACAGCGTCCCGGTGTGGAGAATAAGGGGTCCAAGACACGGATTTGGACATTCGCAAAGTCGGATAAACTCTGACAAAGTCTATTCACAAACTCCACATGTTGATTTGTCACTGTGTGTAGCGGTTTCGTGTAGAGACCCTAATTCACAACCCTAATGTTCCATCCAAAACATTACTCAAATCATCAAACATGCACTTTCAGAGATTTACAATCAAGGAAAGGATGGACAAATGAAACAAAGTAGCCAGTTATAAAACAACGGTTTAGAGGCACCAGAGAGTCTCTTCTCTTACTCTGCAATCCAAAAGTGCGTAACATGCTGCAGGAGTTACATTATTCAACAAAAGAACGTTTCATAACAGATTCATGCTCAAGGGAGTGTTAAACAAAATACTGCCACATAGCAAATGGAGCACAAAAAATATAGTTGGTACACACCAATTCCTAATTCAACACAAAAGTGCCTAAAATAATTGTAGCAACCTTTTACCAACCTTGAAACAATCACAATATGTACACAATTCAATCAGTAACAAAAAAAGATTCTACCACAGAGACATGTGTCAGTGGTGTTCCATGTTCTTAAGCTACCAAGTTCCAGTTCTCAGTTACTAAAATTTCTACAGCCTCTTCTGAAGGAGTTTCTTCACACACCGATTGAGACTGTCAGCTATGAATCTCCAATTCTCAGCACCCTTGGGTCCAGAACGCAGGTAGAAGGGAAATAAGACATTCCACATCATAGCTCCGAGAACACAAAAAAGCCATACCTAGCTACAGCTTCATGGCCGATTTGAACATACAAGAAGCTTCTGAGAGTGAGGAAGTCGAGACAGCTGTCATAGGCGGATGGTTGCTGCCCCGAGGGTAGTGAGGAGGAACTTAAGGACAAAATTTCGACAAATGGACGAATCAGTAAGTCAAATAGATCTCAATATGGGACCACATAAGGCAGGGCATACAGGTCGCAGGAGGGTAATAAGACCGCCTCGGCCCACACCTGCACCGAGGACTCCCCTGCCCCCCTCTCCACCTCTGCCTTTGGCTTCAGGTGAGACCCAAGGGGCCTGCCTGCGAACAACCAATCCTCATCCGGAGTGTCTGACCACGAGCTTGTGGGCTTGAGGATCATCATCTCACATGGAGGAGAAGGCAATTCAGAAGCCTTGGGAGACTGTCTTTGTGGTTCTAACTTAACGCTGGACAACGCAGGCTGGTTATTAATACTGCCGGGGGGCCCAATACTAGCGCTACTCTCAGGGGGCAAAACTAAGCCTGGCTTAACATCAGAAGCCTTGCCATTGGGTTCTTTTTTACTATACAATGGTTGAGGAATTACAGGAAGAGTTACAGGAGTCCTCTCCAGCACACTCCAGGCTAGGGTCTTCCCGCCATCCCTGACCTCGCCCTTGCTGACAAGAGATGGCTCAACAGCAGCAGCTGTTGACTGTATAAGTGGGCGCTCAGTGACAGCCGTTGGAGGAACATCCCGCACTTTCCCATTCTGTTTCTCTTCTTTAGGCTGTAGAATGTCGCTGATAAGAACAGTCCGTGGCTGCTTACTGGGCCGCAAGGAGTCCTTGTCTGTACCAGAGGCAAGAGCGGACCCATGACCCAATGATGTTGAGTATCGTCAAGAAAATGTGTCACAGAGCGATAGTGAACTCAGACATCAGCAACCGCCCTGCTGATATAGCATACATTGATCTACAGAGCTGACCGGGGAGAAAGAGCCCTTGAAATTTGACTAAGTTCCAAGGACGAATGCAAAAGTAGGAGGGATTGTTTCCTTGTCAACATAAGGGCACTGCATCGGAGGCAGGTGCTGATACAAAAGCTAATGAAATCACACATATCCGAGCTTACTTCGTCAATGTAGTTTTTCTATTTCACAACTAAACAATTTCCTCGTTATGATCACAGGATTTCTAGCGGTGGTTACTAAGTTCTGGAATCTTAGAAAAATCCAATGATCTCTTTGAATATTTACACAAATAGGGTCCGATCTACAATCTAGGGTACTTCTATACAGAGAGTACACTCTGGCAAGTTGCTTAGCACACTTGGCATCATTGTACAACAGGACGAGAGCAGAAGGGAGAATGACTTACCATGGGTATCCCCATTCGTATCCCCATCCTTTTTCTTCTTTTTCTTCTTGTCTTTATGTTTGTCTTTCCTGTCCTTCTGCGGCACAAAGTAGGAACAAATCAACGCTCGCATGTTAGACCAGAGATCACGAGACCGAAACACATTCTGAAAAATTGGCAGCATCCATCATCAGAAGTAAACTGGGTTTGTACAGCAAGGGCCACATCGCACATCTGTGCCAATAATGACTGGATCCCAAATGAATGTAAACAAGATGGCTTAGAAATGATGGTCGCAACAACAACGCAATGGACAAATAGAATTAAGAGAAACAAATCCATCAAAGAAACGTAATGCTGCCGACAGATGCTTCGCGCAGATTTCAGGGCATGGGCAAGTGTGAAGACAGTAAGACCAAGGGACTCAAACATGATCGCCACCTTTGGATTATCTTCAACCTCCGCTCAAAATAAGAGGCCGATCTACACAACTTGATAGTTTAACAAACAAATTCCCTTCAAACCCCAAATCTCGGATTTGAATGAAAAGATTCGGCTACAACGATCAGTGGAGTAACAGCACCACAGCTCTACACCTGCAAGGGGTCGACTTGAGCACCAGACAAGGCTTTCGAAAACTTCTCCTACCCAATGATTCGCAGTGATTGGTATCACACCTTGAGATCTCGACTTTACGAGAGATGTCACAACATATGTCTTCATTGCCATGCAAAGACCACCCGATCTACTAATAAGGCTAACATCCACAAAGCAGCCAAGCAAATCAAACCTTGTCCTTGGGAGGCTGAGCTAAATCAGCAGGGAGCTGAGGTGCCTTCTTCTGGTATCCCGGGGGCGGGAATGGATAGCAGCGAGACATTTTCTATTTGTTTGTAGACCAAAGTGCAGCAGCTCGCAGAGGCAAGGAGACTGCCCAGACCCAGCGGATGGAGGCGTACCCCACTGCCACTGCTGCACCATGTCACCACATTCAATCCTACTCCTTGTGTAGCTTCTCCCTTCACTTCCGCGCTGTTCTGATTGTTTCCAAATTTAATAATTTCTGTTGCCCACCGGTCTTCTTTCTCTTTCGAGAACCTTTCGTGAAACTGATTTCAATGTGTTTATCTCCTCTTCTGATTACAGTGATCGTTGAGGAGTTAGATAGCCGAATTATCGATTCCCATCCGATGATACCAGCTCCAGCAGATGTGAATTTTGACAGTCGAACAGCATCCGTGTAACAAGAATGACAAGGTCCCCGATAACCTCATTCGCTGATGCTCAAGAATCCTGCCAGTTTCTCCGATATGGTATCGGTGCGGCACACTGGGAGTATAACGCCGCAGAAGAAAAAGCTGAGAAGATATGCATCTAGATTTAACTTTGCAAGCTGTTCGTCGAAGTCAGCTTTCCCACACACCCTGAGTCACTTTTTCCAAGATTCTTCACACTGCAGAGGAGCACTTTTATGTCACAAGGCCGTCAACTAAGTTTGCTCAGATGGTAATCAAGCAGCAATGGTGTTCACGAAATGGAAGAATGGGCATGATAGCCAAGTAACAACCTCCGCTGAGTATCTTTTCAAGGCTCCCTACATATTCATTCCGACCATGGGTTCAGTCTAGGCCATTCAACATAACTCTTCGATCATCTTAATCTTCACAGCAGGAAGCTGCCCCGAGCTGAGCCCTCAACGTCCACAAAAACCCCCGTCCCTGAGCAATTGTGCAGCCCAGTCCATACTTAGTGGGTATTTTTTTCCCCCAGAAATAGGGGTGTCTCTCTTTCCTCCGAATCACTCAATAAATTAGAATTCTTCCCCCACTTGAACGATAACTTCGTATAAACCTTGCTCCTGATGCACTTAACCTCAACAACACGTCACCCCAAGCAAGAGACTAAGGGACAGAACTTGTTCTTTAAGTTAAGATTTTCATCGCCCCAACTTTCAGACCGTCCTCACAGAGCCCTTAAACCACCCTCAAGATCCAATGCAGCAGCACTCCCCGTCCCCCAAAACTAGGGTTCCCCAACCCAAGCAGGCAAAAGTTGCAGACACCAAAGGCAAACCTCCACCAGAACCCAATTCTCAGCCACAACCTAAAACCTCGTCACGATGTCACAACATGGCAATCCAACCCACGATAGGGATTTTTCACAGGGGAAGGCAGCCGGAATTGATCGGACAAACAAACTGTCCGAGTCGCTTATTTCTGACCCTGAAACGCTAAAATATCCAACTAAACGACCAACCCCACTCTCCGGAACGCAAAACTCCACACCTTCAACAACTAGGTTTCCACACACACGCAATCCGCGCAGCAATTAGCCTTGCTCGATTTCAGCCCTGATTACACCCTATTAGTTAAATCCCCTGCGTCCGAGAGAGAGCGTGGCGATGCGAGCCCCATCCGCAAAGAGGAAGAAACCCACCATAAAGGAGTGTGTTATTTCTGATTCCGAACAGTGCGGTTTGCGGTAATTCCCAATACGGTTTGAGTGACACAAGGCTCAAGCCTGCTGGCATGCACACACTCAGGCATGCTCCGCAGTAGGGCCAGTCTGGTAAGGCTCTCTCTGCCTTGGCGATGCGCCAGACACTCTTCTAGCACACACAGACTAGTGGGCTCTGCTGTGTCTCCTTACCCCTCTTTTAACCCTTTCCGTTCCCCTCCTCGGTCGTCTCCTTCAAGCAAACCCTGCCAGCCTGTTTCCGTCCGACTCCATGGATCGATACCCTTGTCTGGGTAATAACACCATGGTATCACCCTCACTCTTGATGATCACGTATAGTTATCAACCCGGGTGTGAACTAGTGGTCCGGCGGGTGCATTCGTCCGCTAGTGAGGGGCTCCGGGGTTTCGGGTGCCGGCCATTAAAGCCGCCTTTCTCTGATGTCAATCCGTGGCAAGTAGGTCGCCCGGCAGCGCATTCCTCCCCTCCAAGATTGGATTTCCTCGACGACCCTTGAACTGCAGCGTTTTCTCGGGGCGGAGCTTGATTGATTGAGGAGGTTGGAGGGGGAGGATTGTTAGTGGGTGCCTCGGCGAAGGCAAGTAGAGGTGCAGCAAACAGTTGCGTTGCACCTCCCCCCCCCGCCAGCGTGTCCGGTTTGTGCGACTAACGTGGATGTTGGTTGGGAGGGTGGGTTGGTTGTCAGCGTGTGCTGGGCTCTGTTCTTTCTTGCGTTCGTTCGTTCGTTCTCAGTGGATGATAATTCACAATCATCCGTCTGACAGGGCTATGTACTCTCTTTTGCTGGATGGTGGAGGGGTGGACTACTGAGGGACCACCACTGCCAATGGATGAATGAATGTAATCCCATTGCATTTCAAACGCCGTCCATGCAGGGGAGAAATGGATGAAGAAATGCTAACAATGGGTGATTTAAGAACCCATGAAGTTTTTATTTTTTTATGTATTTTTTAAGAAACATTAAAAAGGAAATATGGGGAATGGGTAACTAGGAGCCAACAGTATGAGAGCCAACAGTTTGTTGACAAATGTTTTTCACTCAATGCTGGCTTAAGAGGAAAGAGTGTATAGCACATGCCTACTACATATTACCCACCAGTCATATTCAACAGCTGACCCCCATCCAGACTCACTGTCATTCATAACGGAAGGTTCTGGGGTTTGTTTTATGAACAAAGTGTGTGTTTGATAGTCAGTGTTGAAGGTTGAATAATTATTTGAGTTTATGACCATTGCAGGTATTTAAGAAATATGGAAAAAGAGTTATGTTAAGTTCTAAGCGTAATGAATATTTTGAAACCATTGCCAAGCTTTATTGTCTAGTAGGAAAAAAAAATTAAGCTTGGGATGTGACAAGAACATGGGTGTGGTGGTGGTTAGGGTTTGCATTGGTAGCAGGTAGAATTACATTTGTGAATAAGACATGCTTCTGAAAAGTACAAAGAAATGAACAAGGAATTGAATTGAATTGAATTCATTTCAAGTAGATGTTGAGAATACACCTGACAACATTAAATATGCTTTGAGATCCTATTTTTCTTTCTCTGCCTAAATACTAATGTTTGCAAGAGAAACTAGATAAATAAAATAAAAAATATATGTATTTGAAGAAATTAAGGATAGGCTTGGTCCTACTTCTATTCATACCAATTTGCAGATCTACAAACATGTTGTCCATACTTCTAATGACTTGCTTTACAAGTTAGTATAAGAAGCATATTTGAGAAGAATTCTAATAAGCTTGCTATCTAAGCTGCAAGACGAATTTTTTAAGAATAATATCCCAGAAATTTTATTGTCTAAACTTCTATTACGAACTTTTATAAGATCTTACAAGAATCTAATTTCAATATTAATATTATATTATTTTATTGATTTATGTTAAGATTTTAACTTTTTCTGTATATATATATCCTTAAAATTATTTTGATTGCAGTTTTTTTTTTTTTTTTTTTTTGGTAAAGTCATAAAAATATATACATATTTAAAAATATGAATTGTATAACATATTGATTTTAGATCAAAATAAATAAAAATAATATAGTTTGATATATATATATATATGGAAATTTAATAATATAAAATAACAAGTTGCAATAAAAAGACATTTAATTATCATGATGGCTAAATAAATTACAAAAGAATGAAACCATTATTTAATTTTAATTACAAAATCCTTGTATGATTAAATACATTTAAAAAAATGAATTTTTAATTGATATTATTTTAAGAATGTTCATAAAAGTTTCTAACATTACCTCTGTAAGCACCACTTTAAACTTCCAAGTTGTAAAAATTCGAAATCTGTATTAGAACTTCATCTGGCAAAAAAATAAAAATAAAAATAAATCTTTAAATGCTAAAATATAATAGTTAAATGAATAAACGTAAGAAGATTTTTTCTTGAAATTAAGAAAATTCTAATTTCTTAGAATCTACGAGAGTTTGATTTATTTTATTAAAATAAAGTAAAAATTAAGACTGTTCTTTGAGCTTGTACTCATCGAAAGAAAAAGTTATCACAGTGTTTTAGATTTTTTTTTTTTTTTTTTTTTTTTTAGAATTTTACATCCACGATATGATTCTCAAGCTTTACATTTATCCTTATTATTCCTATGTATGTCAATGACTTAAATTAATTTATTTTGATTGATGTATCTATCGTCTTTAATTATGTACTTTAAACGACTGGTGAAGTTACTGCAAAAGTTTTGAAATGTTAAAATAAGGCAGTAGAAAATTCTGCACAATATATTTTTTTTCAGAAAGAATGATTCTTAATATTTAAGCTAATTGGAAAATATTTTGTGAATTTTTTTTTTCGAATCAATCGGAATACATTGTAATCATTGATTTAATCATGTATTAGACTTTCAACTTCATGCACTAGGAATAATAGATCTGTTTATATATATATATATATATATATATATACAAAGGTACCTTGCTGTATTTAAAACCCTGGTAGATGGAAATTTTATAAATAATGTGAGGTTTTATAATTTAAGTGGAAGCTTGCAATTTTAAATTTCTAAGTTATAGTAGATATGGAATAAAAGACATTCTTTGTATGAGCCCATACTAGCTTTGGTAAGATTGCTAATTTACTATTTAGGGGGATGAGAAAAGATTTTTATTGAAATTTTATTGCAATTTAAATGTGCAAGCATTGGTCTTAATTGTCATACAAGATTGTTTGTTCATCAACATGCTAGCACTACTTTGAAACATAGGCACAAAGACAAAAACATGTTTTACTTCTAATTTGAAACATAACTCTTGAGAGCTGAAGTATTTGTTTTGCTTATGGTACCTATGACAAATATTAGGAGATGCCAAGTTTAAACATGTTTTTCTTGTTCATTTGTGCAAAGATAGGAAAAAAAACATTTTTCTCCCATTTGTTGTTAAATTCACAAAACTTGCTTTTAAATTCAATTCTTTAAATGTCACAATATCAAGAGGAAATCTTAGGAGCTTCAAGCACATTGATAAAAACATCTATACTTTGGAAGTAACAACAGTAGACAACAAGCTTGTGACAATCTTTGTCTCTAAGAATTAGAATATGGGCATTGCTAGAAATCACAATTTTGCTTTATTTAGTGTACAAGTTTGATATTGTAAGCCTATCTTCTTTTGATTGCTTTGGGCTTTTTCCATGTTTGATAACAATAAGTGTGATATGATGTATTAAACAAAAATTAAAAATCAAGATTTATTACTAGGCTAAGATAATGGTTGTGTAACATGCAAATACAACACCTTCAATTTGAAAATTAATCTCCTCATTAATAATAGTGAGATGGTTGTCAATGGTTGTGGTATCCATGACAATCTCTATCTCATTTGCAACTCTATTACTTGCAAGTGTTGTCTTAATTCAAAAGATTAATAATTTGCATAGAAATCTAAATCCCAAATGCACAAATAAATAATCTCTTCTTTTATTGGACCTATATTCATCTAATCTAAATGCTAATAGTACAAATAAATGATCTTTATTCTTGTTGGATCCACATTTATGTATTTTTGCAAAAAAAATGAGTATTTGAATTATAAAATTTCTTACTTGTGAAGCCACCTGCTAGCACCACAATGACAAGTAGCAAATTAGAATTAGAAACAAATAAACGCACAAGCATGGTTATGAGATTTTGTTTTCGAAACAGTAACTCACCAGGCATAGAGGCTACACAATACAATGATCAAAATGAACAGAGAAGAACAGGGAGAACGAGACAATGCAATAGGAGCAACACAAATAAGCAGCGCTCACAAAAGTTGATTACTGAGGAACTTCTTTGTATAACGTAACTGAGTCTGTTGTTTTGAGGTGTTTCTGATGAATTGCAAGCAGAACAAGGTTATTAATGCATTGACAAGCTAAATGGATTTCTTCTAGTTTATATATATATATATATATATATATATATATTGTTTTAAAGTGCTAAACACATGAATTTTTATTACTGAATTTCATTTTTTTGATTCCTGATTGAAAATAAAATAAATATTACTACATGAGGCTTATAGTGGTCTATATTTATAAGGTTCGTGTAATAATTTGATTGTTTTTGTTTTTTTAAAAAAAACATTATCTAAAATCCGTCAAACCATTCAACTACCATGCTTGAAACACCAACATTCTCATCAATCATCTTTGTCTTATTTTAAATGAAGGTATTGTTCATGACATGTTACAAAAGTCACCATGGTTAAACTTAGCACAAATACCAATTTGATTAGAAGAAGTAAGAAAATCGATTTTGGTACTTATTGTGGTTTTCCCACACATTTGAAGTTTTACTCACAATGTCAAAAAGAAGTGCATGGATGTGATTGATCAAAAAAAGCACTAGTTATTTCTTATAACTTACTGTATTGCATGATTCTAGAGCCACGAAACGAAGAGAATAAGCAAAGTATACTGTATTACATTATATGTAGACATAAAATAAAAGAACACAGGGATTGTTTAATGTATTAAGATTGATACCCGTTCTCAACCGATGCCTGGGTATGTGCCTTTCAACAGATGAACGCGGGTCTTATCCGGGTATGAAGTTTTGGTCCTGAATCTAGTTTTGTTCGGCATTTCCAATTCGGTTGCATTTGTCACGTCTTGAGCATTTGTTTTGCACTGCCTGCAACGCTAGGAAATTGAATCAGTTTTGTCGATTGCATCCCTGTGCAACGATTACGCACTTCGGGGGCAATCTAATCGGCTCTCATTGTTGTGAGGTCGTTGAGCAACTCCTGTTTGTATCACAAGCATCGCCATTGAAAAATGCAGACAACACGGTGATTCTAGGTTGCGACGCTTCTTCTCTGATCCTCATCTTCGGCCACAATATTGCCTCATGCCTTCTCCGATGACTTGAGAAGCGAAAGGAATCCTGAACATGCTCACGGAAATCTTATATGTCATCTTTTCACTCGCCAAGGTGCACTGTTTCAATGGTGATGCTTATGATACGAACTTCGTTGCCATACCCCGCAGGATGCCTCAAAGATGCCCAGAGATCACGAAGGCTCCGAGGAGACTAGCTAAAACCACTTCAAGCACGTCTCCGAAGAGCTTCAACGACACGCAGGTACAGTCTTCATCAATCTCACAAGCATGAAATTATATTTGACATTCGCAACATATGATTTAACAAATTTAACAAAGAATCTTCAGTATTGTGAGGCATTTTTTTTATTTATCACGAGACGCCGAATCAATTAATCGCAAGTCTATATGCTCTTTCTTCTTCTTCCTCCTCTAGTTACATCATTCACGGTAGACATCGCAATATTGACACAGTTTATTCAACACCAGATTATTGCAGCTTGACCTCAACCACAAATTTTGCATTTGATCGAAACTGTTACTCCATCGAACTGTAACGAATTTAGCTCACCTTGGCGAGCATGTTGAAGTTGCAAAACAGTGATTTGCTTGTTGTACACCTCTCATAATTGCGGTGATTCCAGTCAAAGCTTGATGAGAAATTTGTGACAGGCAGTTTCAGTAGGTAATTTTTTGTTTGATTTGTTTGTTTGTTTGCTAATGCCACAATTTTTGCTACTATCATTGCAACTTGCCATCCATCATATGTTATAGTAGATTTTGCTCATGCCACCACAAGTTTTTCTGAACTTACATTGCACACCACAATGTACTTTACAGAACACTAAAGATTGTGGTGTACCTTAGGAATGCTATATAAAATGCATTATAGTGTGCAATGCAAATTTAAGGCAGTTTATGGTGGCAGCAGCAAAAAATTTAGTGGCATTAACCACACCCTAAAAAGATGTTCAAAGGTCTAAATTCAAAAGAATGCAAATAGTAAATGCAAATATTTGTTTGATGTAATTTACAATTGAGAAGTTTGAAGAGATTTTGAAATAAAAACAACAAAAAGGTGAACCAAACACAACAATAATAAAAATCTTTTGTGTACAGAATGATTGGTTATAATATATTCTATGCAAATATAAGTAAAAAATCATTGAATTAGGTTACACTTTTAATAGAGAATTGTAGGAAGAATTCACTAGCTAGAACATAGGGATTCAACAATTTAGATATTATTTATCATAACTTCTAATTTTGTTTCTGTTTTTGCAAGGCAAACAACAATGGAATGAAGCTGAGTATGTGGGTGTGTGTATGGATGCGCTTTGAAGGATTCCTCGTGTAATTTTTCGCACAATCAGCTAAATTGTAAGCAAAACAGCCAGTTGTGATCACCTGATTCGCATGAATCCCCCCGTTAGACCATTCACAGGGACTGCGTGAAGGCAAATCCTTGAACCGGGGCTGTCTTGTGCGGCTCAAAGCAGTGGAGGTCACTCGCACACCTGGTCAGATCCCTCCACAAACGGCTCTGCACACATCGCAGAATCCGATTATCCTCATTTTGTCTTGAATTCTAAGCAGCCGCAGCCGGAATGTGCCCTAAATCAAGCTGAGTCGTGGCCAAATTCCTGCCCGGAGCCTCAGAGCCTCCAATACACGGCCTACCTTTCATGAGACTTGAGCTTGATGGCCTGCCGAACTCCGATTTTTCATTCCCAACCTGCCTGTTCGACTCGGGAATGAACTCTTGACAAAATCCAAACGGTTACGCTTTCTACAGGAAGCAGATATTAGAGAAAAAAGAGAGGGAGAGCGACATAACTTGACTTCAGTAACCTAACAATCCAGCAGCAAATGCAAATCTGTTAAATCAACTCTTCGAAATCCGGCAACTGAGGGAGAGCTCACCAATTAATGAGAACATGCTCTATGTAACGCATGCAACAGCAACAAAACTAAACAATACAAAGCCCTTGCACCTCGCCACTGGACTGTAAGAGCTGACCTGTTTGCAGAAAAAGCTCGAAGATATTTCGAAAAGCATTCGCAGCACGAATTTCGTTGGGAGAGGTGGACGGATGCCGGAAATCGTTGCCAAGGATGAGAATAAGCGAGAGGAGTTGTTTCCCGACTGGAAAAAGTGTTGGATGCATATCACTTATATTCATCTGTGGAGCCAGTAGGATTGTGAGGGCTAGGCAACAGGCCATGCGCCAACCTCGAGAAGCGGAAAAAGTCGCGCCACCCAACAAACGAATGGTTAGACATGTGGGTGTGCGGAGATATGACCAAAGCCTTTCTTCCGCGCCCGCAGAGGCTGCCACTTGGTGTTGCGCTCTGCCGCGGCGCCCACATAGCCTTTGCGTCAGCATTCCGACCCTGCTGCGCAATTCATTAAATGATTCTTGGTTCCATTCCTCCCTCTATTACCAACGTCGCTACTCAATCACGTCTCGCTTGTCAATTACTGCAGTCTTAAGTTGTCGACGTTTCAGGTACTGCAGTAAGTTAGCTCGTAGAATGTGTGATTTGGTTTGCAGGGTTAGTGTCATGTGCGAGACATGTAGGTAGTGCTTGATTTCTCGCAGGTTTGTGACCGATTTTGGAGTTTTGAAGGGGATTGTTGGGGTGACTACAGATATATCCGTTACCATCTGCAGGATCTGATGTAGGATTTCTACAAGCCTGCTGATGAACTTATGTATGATGCTTCGATGTGATTGTAATAAAATGAAACGGCGCACATGGAAGTTGGAAGTCTTGCTACGTGATGTCGTGTTCAGGGTTGAGAATGGCTAGGATTGATTCTAGGACGTGTCGCTAGAATACGGTTTTCTAGATGAAATAATCCGACATTCTCAAAGAAGCTATGAACATTGCTGACGGGACTGTCTTTGTGAAGGAAATCCAACTTGCACAAATCCGCATTTGCATAGAGTATTCTGGAGACATGTCATCCAATTGAAGCATAACTGGTTGTTTATGAGTTATCTGATGCAGAAATTTGAGCTCCTGGAACGTCGTAGTTGATCATCATGGTTAGGGCTGAGAGCTTAACCGCAGTGTTGCTGTGTTGTCTTCTCCTCTGCAATTTCGTGCCTACCCCTGCCGTGGCAAGCAGGAGGCTGATTAGAGGAGCGGTCTCCTTTGCCATCCGCGCGTGGTGTATTCCCAGGACGGAATCGTTGCTGCTAGAGTACGAACAAAAACACGAATGTACTTACAATTTGACTAACGGCGACAGAGCAGCCGGTGTGGGATACAATTTGGACGACGATGTGGAAACTCGGCGCTCGGAGCTTAGCACTGTCCTTGCAGACTATGATAAGGTAACCCAACTGCCTGTATCTCGATCGCTTTTAGGGTTATTTATTGTTAGTTATCTTTTAATTAAAACTTAGTTATAATCTTCATTGTCAAACTGTTGTGATTTTTCTTCTGTATTTGTGATTTGAATGTGAAGGTTGACTGCCTTGGCAGGTCTACATAGGCGAGAGCTGCTTAAACGCAGTCCAAATCAGCGCACTGCTCGCCCTTGACACGAGACGTGCATTAGACAGAGCAGCTGCAAGTGTGAAGTCCTTGGATGAGCAGTGTTGCGCTGTCATGGCTGTTTTTGGCGACATCCAGCACTCAGCGGGTAATTCTGCAACCGAACTTATACGTCTTAGTAGTTACGACAATTAAAATTTTCACAATTAGAGATCTTAAACTGGTTTTGGTTGCTGTTTCCATCAGGTACTACTTCTTTTTCACAATTCGTATGAAGCATACTATACCACATGTCCTTCGGGTCGATTCTCATAGAACAACTCAAGAGAGCAATACTCACATTAGTATTAATCACGTTGTCATTCACATACTTGCTAATAGGGTCAACTACTCGGTTGCAGGTAAAGATGCGTTTGAGGGAAGTGATTTTAAGGATTTCATTGAAGCTATGAGCGCCAAAAAGTGGATGAAGGCAGCTGAAAATTTGAAAAAAACGAGCTGGTGCAAAGCCAACAAGGAGAGGTGCATGAGTGACAAGGCCATCATCAAAGAAGGCTGTGGAGAAGCTGGGGCTGATGTAGTCATCCACCAGGTCACTAACCCACATGTCCACAATTAAAACTACAATGTACATGGTCTATACGAACAATGAGATGTGTACGCAGCAACGTTTTTCTGTAGAGGTGGTGCTTGAATCATGTTGCGTCTGTTGCCACAGGAATGAGTCAATTTTGATGGAGTATATAATAAGGGCACTGTTTGTATGTTCTTAGCTGCGTCCAGGTTTTGGGAATTTGCTTCGAACCCCCTTATTTATAAGGATAACAGACATAGTATACAAATTACTATAATGATAATGACAGATTGTGTAACGGTGTGTGAAACTGCCTTCTGAAAACTAAAATCTAGATGTTTGCAGCAACGCACACTTCAATGTTCCAGGCATTGAAGACAGACCATCAGATGTTGATAACTCTCTCTCTCTCTCGCTATATATATATATGGTGTCTGTGCTTTCAAAGCTGTGCATATGTTCATATATGGTGAGAGTTCCTTGATTCAGGGAAAGGATATGTAAAGACACTGTTATGAAATGAGGTTGATGACAGTAACGAATAATGCATCATATCTGGCACGCATGATTCAGAAATGCACCGAGTTCCTTGATTCTTGTGCTGGTTGGTGTAAAATAGATTCTGCAGTTTCTTCCATTCACATTCTTCTCAGGACATCTTATTTTGTCATATATTTATTTTATAAAGCATCCTTCAAACCCACCAAATCAATTTTGATAGAAGAAATTGAGTTTTTCAGTAATTGAAGCTTTAAGGTGTAGAAATCTTGTATAGAATATGAAAGATTAAACAAAGTCCTCAACTTCAGGGAGTTGGGTGTTCTTACAAATATGCAGATATTTTAAAATGTTTCTTGTAAAATGTTCTAAGTACAGTAATAAAATTATACATCAAAACCGGATATCAATGAAGAAACTGATCAGATCTGAATTATATTGTACAACTAATGCAAACGTTGAGATATTATTAGTTGTACATGATTAAGTATTTTTCACACAAAATGGACGTAATTGAGATGTTTGTGAGATTGTGCAACAAGATAGAGTGATTACACAATCAAATCATTGAATACTTGCACATTGGTATTGAAAGAGGAAATTTTGCATTAATACAAAGTGAACTTTAGAAGTCATGTAGAAATTGAAATTGTTGTATACTAATGTTGGTTTTAGTATGAATATTTCTGAGGAAACTTGCAAACTTATTTACTTTAATGGTATTCAATATATACATATAATTTGGTTTGATGTATGAAAGATTAAATTTTTTTTGGAACGAGCTTATATAAAATTTTACATATTAAGGTATGTTTCATGGTGTGTATTTTTTATTTTTTAATTTTATTATTTATTATTATAATATTCTTTAAAACAAAGAACTTCCCAAAAATATAAAAAAAATCAATTAAGTTCTATATATTTTCAATTATAATATCTAAGTTACAAATTAATTAAAAATAACAACAAAAATTATTATTATTTTAATAATATAAAATATATCAAATAAAATTTTTAAATTTAATAATCAGATTTTGATTTTTTATAGTTGAAATTTGATTAGAACTATATAAGCTTAAATCATTCATCAAATAAATTTGACTCATCATCCAACTCAAACAACAATAATATTGAAGAAAGAAAATTTTGAAGTCATAATATATAGTATAAAGTAAGATAACTCTTACTTCAAATATCCATTACTAAAAGATGGTGGTTATTGCTCTAATAAACAACTTCCATCTTTTGATGAATACACCTATCTAAGATTCTACCAAAATTATTTATTGATATTTTATCTATTATTAAGATATATCTTTAGCATATTCTTTGTATTCTTAAGATCTTTTGTCCATTCATCTATCTTATGTCTTAGCATTTTCACATACCAAAAATCAATATTTTGACCATTAACAACTTATCTAAGATAATATTCTGTACAAGATAACTTATTCTACTTTTATTTTTATTTACTTACTTTAATATTTCTACTTTGTTATTAATCAAAGACTTTCACTTCTAATATCCTTGTCAATATGTGATGCCTATCCTTCACTAATGCTTTTGTCAACAAATTAGCAAGTATGTCTTTTGTTGCACAATACTATATCTCAATCACTTCCATTTTAATCTTCTCTCTTATAAAGTGATGTTGAATGTCAATGTCTTTAGTTCTTGAATGATGTTTTGAGTTCTTTGCAAAAGCAAGACATCCTTGATTATTACACTTCATTAGAATTGCTTCAAATTACATCACTTTAATATCTTCAAAAATTTGTCTTAATTATATTGCTTCTATTGTACCATGGCTTATTGCTATGTACTCCACATCCATTGTGGACTTTATAATTATTGGTCGTCTCTTGCAATTCCATGAAATAGCTCTTATTCCAACAAAAAATATATGACTTATTTTTTATCTTCTATCATTTGCATCTCTAATCCAATCATCAACACAATTACCATACAAAGTAATATTATCACCTCCAAAACACAATTTAAAGTATAAAGTATCTTTTAAATAATTTATAATTCTTTTATGATTATCCAATGGATTGGTTCAGCTTTTGACATGTATTGGCTTACAATACTTATGACATATGCAAAATCCACCTTTGTACTAATTGTTGTATACATAAATAAAGCCATTGTTGCCTTATATAGAACACCTCGTATTTCATCTTCAATTTTAGTAAATTCCTCATCTATGAGCTTTATCAACTTCAAATTGGCTTTGAAAGGTTTTTTAATAGACTTACATTCTCTCATGTTAAATCATTTCAATACTTCTTCAATGTCTTATTTTGGCTCATTGTAATAGTTTTGTTAGTCTGATCTCTAATAAACTCCACTCCTAAATAATCGTAAAGTTCTTTCAAATCACTCATCTCATACTCATTTTTTATTTTTATTTTTAATCAATTCATAATCTTTAAGGTATTTATTTAGATGATTAAATCATCAACATAGAAGATGATAATCAATAAGAATTCATTTGATTGCATTATATACATAGAATAATTAGTTTCACTTCTTATTAATCCTTTATACACAAAGAATGTGTCAATATATTGGTACCATGTCTTTGGTGATTGTTTGAAATCATATAAGGATTTCTTCAACTTACAAATAAAGTATCGTTTGCTTTTTTCAACAAATCCTTGAGATTAATTCATGTATATATCTTCTTCCAATTTTTCATATAAGAAAGTTGTCTTTACATTCATTTGATGCATCTCCAAGTCTATTGTTATCTCAATTGCTATAATAGTTCTAATGGTGGTGAATTTAGCCATGGGAGCTAATATCTCATTGAAATCAATACAAACAACTTGTAAGTAGTCTTTGAAAATCAATCTAGTATTATATCTCACAACATCATCTATTGAATCTCTTTTGGTTCTAAACACCCACTTATAATCAATTGAAGATTGATTGGTAGAAGTTAAAGCAATTTTCATATTTTATTATCCATGAATAATTTGTATTCTTTTTTCATTGCATTTTCTCACTTCATAGTATTTATAAACTTCATTGCATCACACAAATTCAATGGATTAGTAAAGAATACAATATTGATATGTTTTTTACTTACTTAAGAAAAGATGTCATTCTTTTATCATTTACTGTGTTATTATTGGTGTTAATTTTTTTTGTTTGTTTCTTTTTTCTTTTTTCTTATAAAATATCTCTTTTTACTTGATGAAGATTCACCTCCATGCACTCTAAGGTTTTTTATAACCTTCTTCTTTCTTAAAACTTATTCCTTCATATTTAAAGATTGATACTCTTCATCATCATCATATTCAATGTCTTAATTTTTTTCATTGCTTGTATAAGAATTATAGACACACTTTAGTCTACCTTCTTTAGCTCTTTACTTTGATTTAAAAAAATACTAAAATATATGAAATTTAAACTTAATACAAAAGATACAAAATATATTCTTATTGAATATTGTGAAGGTATTAAGGCATATAGGCTAATGTATTTAAAAACTAAAAAAATCCTCAAGAGTTTTGATGTAGAATTTTTGGAGTATAAGAGTACTTGTGAACACTTAAAGATGTGTCCAAGTGAGAGTAATGATATATTTATAAATACATCTTCAATTTTAGTATAAAAAAAAAAATTATAATATTGAAGCTCTTCAAGTTCATTTGGTGCTAGGCAATAAATTGGTTGACTTATTGATTTGGCTCGTGACAATAGTTCTATTTGAAAAGGGGCACCTTGATAAGGAGACATGCTACTAGGTAGGTTGATTGGAAAAACATCTAGATATTCTCGTATGAGTTACTTTGTCCATTTTATTCCTTTAGTTGTCTTTCCTACCATTGATACAAGATTTGAAACCACCATATATACTGGTTGCTTATGTTATATTTGCTTCTTCATAAAAGTCATTTCTACGAGTAAGTCTTTAGTTGCAAATTATTTTTTCTCTTCACTCAATGCAAAGATACAAAGAGTCACCTTGCATCCACCTTCTTTGAAGGAGATTGTCCTTACTATCCAATCAACTTACTTATTTCCTACCTCTAGCCATGGCATACCAAGGATAAAATTATATCCTAACTTTGTTACCTTGAACCTCTCTCTTAAGATGTAGGTGTCAATCAACATATTATAAACAATTATATTATGATACTATGTGCAATACCTTTGATCTTACATTCATATTGCTTCTCTACAAATACCTTAAAATCTTTAAATCTTAAAAAATACTCATTCTTAGCTTTAAGGATGTAAATCCACATCTTTTTTGAAAAATCATCAATCAATGTGAGAAAATACCTTGCTCTTTCAATTGATGATATCTTCATTGGTCTTTAAACAATTTGCTAGTATATATTGTAATTCCATTTAGAAATAAAGCTATTTATTGTTTATATTGTATACAATCTTTACAAGCAAGTATTATGGTATTATGGCTAAATTAACTAAGATTTAAGTAACTTATAATAGATTGGATTTCCTTCATATTTTTGACATTCAAATAATCAAATCATTGATGCTAAATTTCAAACTTATCTTAATCTTGTAAAAACTCAGCAAATATTGTTATTTCAACTCTATTGACCTTTTTACAATTGATGAAGTAGATGTTGCCATTTCTAAAGCCTATGGCAATATCTTATCCATCCAATATCTTCACAAAACACTCATTCATGCTAAATTGAATCTAACAACCATATGATATAAGTTTGTTCATTGAAAAAAATTTCTTATTTAACTTTGGAACATATAAGACTTCCATTAATTTGAACTTCTTAGTTTGGTCCTTTATAACAATCTTCACTATAATAGAGCCAATTTCAATGGCTTGTACCATCCCATATTCTTCCAACCACACTTTTGTTACTAAAATTGATTTATAAGTGTCAAATAAATACTTATAC